AGGCATCTTTCACTGCTAACACTAAAGGGAATAGGTACTACTCATTCTCTCTGTAGAAGAATTGTTTAAAAATTGAAATTTACTCTTTTCAAATGACATTTCAAGTGTTGTTAAATAGAAAGAAGAGTAAAAATTTAATTTCTAGACATTTAGAATCTGTACTTAAGGTACACTGATTAGCTCAGAATCCTGTTCTCTTTCTGTTCCACATATGACAAGTCTATCCTTAGTTTTTAAAGTTTATGATGATTACACATCTGTTTCTGTTACACTTCCTAAATTTCTTAAGATGTTATGCCTCCTGGTACAAGAAGAGGCAAAAAACACAGGGGAGGATATGATACTTAATTATTCTGATTTTTTTCTTTCTCTCTGAACACTTCATCTTTCAATTTATCACTTTCTTCCCACTCCACAGGGTATCTGACTGGTAGATGAGCTTAGGCAAACTCAAGCATGATGTTCATAACCCAGCATAATTAATTTCAACTTAATATGTTACATGAATGTACCACATCATTTAAATGTTTGTAACCTGTAAATGGGGAGAGGTTCAAAGAAAAAAATGTAAGGGGAAAAATAGAAACTTGACCCACTGTCGTCTGTAGGTTTTATATTGTCCTCACATTATACATTGTTTAATTCAACTTAACCTGCCTCACAATGTCCTTGCTTCTACAAATGGTCACAGCTAATGTTCTGAACTCTGGATGGTTTAGATTTGGGTTTTCTTCTATTCATTTCAGATGAGAAGTATCTAAAGCATGTTATGTGGTTACCCTAGGGTAAGCCAGGGAGAAGAAGCAAATTTATCTCCTGACACAAATGCGGGACTTATAGGACTAAATTAGTCTTTGCAATGTCATGGTCACAGCTGTATTCATTTCTCAATTAACTTTACCTTGTGTTTAGACATAATATCTGTCCCTCTCTTCCTTCATTTTAAACCTTTTCCCAGGAGATAAGTTATAGGTAGTAACAGTGCTTTGGCTTATTTGGGGTATTGATACCCAAGGTTTTCAGGTTACACTAAAAGTGAGGTGAAGGAATGAGAGATGCCCTGGGTGGTTCAATGTTACAGGCCAGGTGAAACTGGCACAATAAAGCTCACTTTGTTGGCTGGTGATATGAGGATTCCTGTTACAGGAAGGGAGTGAAAGCTCCAGGCTACGTTGCTCATGCAAAACTGAAAGAAAATTAGAACAACTAAGGGCTTTTACCCTACCTTTAGTGATCATATTTTTCAAGAGTAGAAAGTAAGGAAAATGCCTAAATAAAGAAAATGTAAACCGAGTGGCATAATAATGATAAAAAGAGTGAACAAGTACAATGCCTAAAGTAGAGCATAGGCAGCAGATGAAAAGAAAGACAACTATGGATGCTGTGATCTGCACAGATTTCACTGTAGAAAAACACCTCTGAAATGTACATGTAGCCACACCAAGCTAAAGTGTATTTTAAAAGTACCTACCACACAAGGCATTCACTAAATGGAATATTGACCAGCTATAGGTCTAGGGAAAATGAACTTATGTTTTATTCATGTGGATCATACAAGAAATTGTACATCAAGTTGTTGGCGATATTTTTTATGTTAAAATAAAAGTATACTCATCATGATTGGGAAGCATAGATAGATAGATAGACCTGTATTTGCAGTTTTTTTAGAGGCTTTAAACTCTTCAATTAGAAGCTGTGTTTAAAATGATGGTGGGAATGTCTATACAGACATAATGCATTGAGTTGTATGTAATGGTCTATTGAGTATGGTTGACCCTGCATATTCACGGACTGTGTGTCCATGAATTTAACCAAAGGCAAATTGAAACATTTCAGAAGAAAGGCTTGCACTGAAAACGGGCAGATATTTTCATGTCATTGTTTCTTAAACTGGTTAGCATTTCCACTATCTATCATTTACATTTTGTCAGGTATTCTAAGTATTTTAGAAGCACTTGAAGTATAACATAGGAGGTCAGAACTAGGTAATATGCCAGTACTTAAGACACACTACATAAAAGGTTTTACCAGGTGCAGATTTTCATGCTCTTGGGAGACTCTGAATCCAGTTCCCTCCAGTTATTGAGTGACAACCCCACACATTAACGTTAACTCAAGTATGCCAAGACTTATTCTATCCCTAAATTTATTCACTAATGTGAGGCCTTGAACACTTCATTTATTCCTCGACTTAATTATTTGTAGTTACAACTTGTTTATAGTTACAAATCTTGTTCTGCCTGATTGCTAATATAAGAATTGTATAACTAATAACAATTTTTGATTATGCTAATAATTTTAGGACTTACACCACTTATATTGATTATCACCACAAAAGGAAATAAAATATAAGGAAATGGAATTACCACAAATGTAAATAGTTCTGTAGTTCCTATCTGGAGTAAGAGGAGCACACAAGAACCCTTTCAGTGAACAGTACCCTCTTCCCACATGTGTCCATCCACAATCTCTTGTCTTTTAAAAGAGAGTTGTGACAGTTTTGAACTTTATATATGTGGGTTTACACAATATGCCTGGATTTTTAGGCTTTGTGTTATGTTGATAAAAATCACCCATACTGTTGCATAAATCTGTAAGATGCTAATTTTCATCATATGAATAGGCCAGGATTTGTTGTTCAATCTGTTACTGGTGGATTTCAGCCAGACAATCATAAGTAATGTGTCTATGAATATTCCTGCATGCCTACCTGCTTTATATTTTAAGAAGACTTTTCTTCAGTGATTAGAACAAGGATAGAAGAAGTTATACCCCAGTGAAATCTTTGGAATGCAAAACCTTTAGGCTGATTTTTAAAAGCTTTTGCTAGAGACAGTATATCACAATATAATGAAGATGCTTTTTAACTTGCAACAGATCATTGAGTGGAAGGCGAGTTAGTAAATACAACCAAATTGTAATCAGAGGGGTGTGGAGGCTCTCTAAAGCCTATTTAAAAAATCAGCAATATTGCTAGTGAAAATTCAGGGAAAGTCCTTGAAGAACTTCAGGCAAGGGGCTAAAGAGATGGCTCAGTGGTTAAGATCACTATCTGCTCTTCCAGTGAATCTGGTTTTGATTCTCAGAACTCACTTGGCAACTCACAACTGTCTGTAATTCTGCCATCATACCTGATGCCCTCTTTTGACATCCATGGGTGCCTAACATGCTTTTGCTACACATACATGCATTCAGGGAAATCCTCATGCACATAAAATAAAAATAAATCTTTAAAAACTTACAGGCAACATAGAACATAAAATTTAGCCATTGAAATTTTTCCATTTTCCTAAGTCAAATTAGGAAAAGTAGAATCCAATTGAAGGGCATCGAATCAGTTCTCAGACTTTATTGTTTGAAGAGATTCCTTGACTTGGAGTCTCATATAGTCTATGCTGGCCTCGAACTATGTAGTTGAGAATTACCTTGTGTCTCTGATCCTGTCCTTCCTCCACATTCCTCCATACAGGTGGGAATACAAGCATGTCCCAGCTTGGCAGGTTTGTGCAATGCTGGACAGAATGTAGGCTTTTTTGCATGCTAGGAAAGCACTCTAGCAACCAAGCAATGTTCTCAGCTCCAGGCTAACATTTTTTAAATATGAAAATTCAGCCAAACATACTTTATGATTTTAGCATTTTGTTTGCCTCTTCTGTTTAGTAATTTCTATTACTGGCCACACTGAGTCTCATGAAGAACTAACACAAGCTATTCTTATTTTAAGATATCGCTGTATCCAGTGCAATGATATTGTAAACTTTGAATTTCCTAAGACACTATAGCAGTGGTTGTCAATATCCTTAATGCTGAGACCATTTAATACAATTCCTCATATTGTGGGTACCCCCACCCAAGAAGTTATTTTTGTTGCTACTTCATAACTTTAACTTTACTACTGTTATGAAATGTAATGTAAATATCTGTGTTTTTGGATGGCATTAGGTTACCCTCAAGACAGGGACATTTGATCTCCAAAGGAGTTGTGACCCAAAGGGTTGAGAACTGTTGCAAATATATTGTGACGTTTGTTGGGCACCAAATAGAGGTTGGTATATTAAGTGCTTACTTTAGGCCAAATACTGTTCTGAAGGTCTTTTCATATACTATTTGATTTAGTTTCAAAACAATACTGTAAAATGTTTAGTTACCTTTACAATAATATATTAACTTATAAATGATGACATTTCTATAGGTTATTTATGACAGAAACCAGAATTTTAATATAAACCTGCTACAGGGGAAAACCCTTATCACTTACTTCAGTGTTAGGGAACTTCCATATTAAGCGGAATGGTGTGCTTGGGTTAGTGAGGTTCCCATCATGGTTTTATTGCCTAATAGTGCCATAATCTACCTAGGTAAAATACTTAGGTATTTTACATCACATACCCTCAACCATATTCTTTATTGATTATAGCACAGCCACTATTTCAACTTCAATGAATTAAAATTAAATCTGAATAAAATGTACTCAAGAGAGTGGAAAACTTCCTTCCTAGATCTGAGAATGGGACATTTAGTGTCTGATCAGTGGAGTCATTTTCACAGTCAGAATTCAAAATAACATCTCCACAAAGACCGCGTTTTCTTAAATAGTTTGAAGCATACAGTTCTGTTTGTCTTATATTTACAACATTTAAATAGTTACTTAGCAGCCTATATATAAGAACATATATTAATAAAAATATTTTCTTGTTGTTTCAAGCTCAGTGATCTTTGAAATAGTAGTATCTAACTTGACAAGGTTGTTCCCTTGCATTTTCTTACAAGGAAGGATTATACAGAAAATAGAATTTAATGGCACTAGTTTAAATCCATAAGCCATTCAAAACAAACATTTTATAATAAGAAATATATTGCCATCTCAATATTATGTCTCTGTATTTTTTCTGTTTAGTAATGAAGATCCATAGAATAACTCAAAATGTGCTTAATAATTCAAATGACTGTTACTTTCTTTCAGATTTCTCATACTAAAACCAATACCAAAGAAGGCTATCATGTTGACCTTTACCAAAATTGCATTTATTTCAAGTCTGTTAATTTTGTTACCATTTGGGAGACCTGAGAAACAAAATCCAGGAAGAAAAGCAACAGAGTATACCATAGAAGATTTGAAAACAATGGGAAACAAATCCATTCCTTTGAAAAGGAGCACAAATTTAACTTTGGGAAATGAAAGTAGTAACATCTCCAAACCCATGCTGACAAATACCTCTCTTTTGGATCTAACAAGAACCTATGAACCAATAAATTCCACAAGTAATTGGAAAGCAGCTAGCTCTACTATGCTTCCAAGACCCACCTCCGCTTATTCTGCCCCTCCCTTGGCTCACCACTTTGTTTCCAAGTCGCCTTTGAACTCATCTACAGCAGATGTGAATCCTTTACAGGTCTCAGAACATTCCAATCCTATACATCCCACAACATCAGAGACATTTACTTGGTCTCTGGACAATGAAACCATGAAAACTCCTGACAATATTTCCAGTACAGTCAGCCTCCTCCCTCTGCCTCCAATGACTACACCTATAACCCCTTTGACAATTGAACCTACTGGATGGCTTGCCACAAACAATGATGACTTCGCTGGTTTTACACCATATCAAGAAAAAACAACTTTACAGACTACCTTAAAATCCACCAATAATTCAAAACTTTTTTCGGATTCATCAGACCCCCAAAAAGGTACATAAAAATATATTTAATTTTTTAGGTATGTAAGGCTGAATTTCTAGAGAAGTCTAGAGTGCCATTCTAGGGAAATGCAGGCAATTACAGTGATGTGGGGAGGAAACAGCAGCTGTTATGAAGAGGTTCTAGGACATGATAGTCATTAGCAGGTGGGAGCATGAAGAAAGAGTGGAACAAAGGTGATGATGGTAAGAGAAAAATGCTACCTGAGGCATCAGGTAACAATTTCCATTACTCTTTGGAGACAATCTGAACTTCAGGTGCTTTCAGGAATATTCTACACATGAGCTTTAAAATATATGCATGTGAGCTTTGAAACACTGAACAAAATGAGTGATTCTATAGATTAGCTGACTCCACACGGTGACTACAGGACAATAACAGAATAGTGACATTGCAAGAATTACTTAGACAAGCTTACCACAAGGAAAACATCCTTATCTTTTAGTTTAACATCTAATAAGAATCACATAAATATAATCTTTTGAACCACAACACTGCTACATAGATATTTATATGATTCCCTTAGAGACTGTGCCAAATTTAAAAACATAAAGTAGGAAAGATGTTAGAGAATGTATAATGAATTCATTATACCTAATTTCCTCCAGGGCTAGCTGTATGCTTGGATTCCTGAAGTGATGTTACAATTTAGTAAGAACTTCTTTTCTTTAAATTAACTAGATACCTTCTGATGGACTTTCTTAGATGCTAAATTCATTATAATTTATAAACACATAATTGGATTGGCATTTCTAAGCTGTTGTATGCATATGAGAAATGTTTTAACTTCTAAAATCTAGGATTTTAATAAAAACATGATAGCAATATATATAATGTGTATACATATGCTTTCATTTTTAATTTTATAATGTTTCATGTTATAACTTTATCATATCCTATCATTCATGGACACTCTTGAATCCATTAAAGAGGATTTTTAAATTTTCTTTATCTGTCTAAACTCAGTCAGTATGTATTGTGAATACTGAATACTGACCCATAACACAGCTCTTTTATCAGAATTGTTAAATTTGCTTCTTTTTTTATAGAAACAATCTAATTTTGTATTCCAAATGAGTTAATTTTCTTAGGAGCAGAATTGAGTATGTAACCTAAGAATAGCCTCATTTGGTATCTAGAAGTGCATTTGGTAACTAGAGACTAGAGGGCAGTAGTACTTTAATAGCTACTTAATTTTCAATTCAGTTATTCTACTAAAGGATAAAATACAGTACAATTTTAGTTTCTTGATACCTGAGCTGAGGTATAAGCAGGCATTGCAAACATCTTGCTTTTGTATTTTGCTTGTTTTATTTGCCTGGTTTGTAAATATTTTATACCAAGGTAGATTGCTTTTCCTTTTACTATCATTTATTTGGAATTTTGTGGATGTGTTTTCTATTATTCACACATTGTTTGATATGTTTACGTATATATATACACACACATACATATATACACATATACATATGTGCATAACACATATATGTGTGTATATACACATGTATATATTTATACATATATTCATACATATATAAACTGATTATACAAAGTTAAAGTTGATTTGAAGTATAAATTTCCTCATAGATTTAGGGTTTATAAAAAGCTTAATTAATACAATAATAATTACTGAAATTAGATCTTTGAAATACGGTATTTCAGCATTGTGATAATAAGTAATAAGATGATTATAAATCACAAACTTGGAAGTATCTCAAAGAAAGTAAAAATGTAGATGTAAGATTTATAATGAATTATTTTTGCCACTATATCAAAAACACTAAGTGCACATTAAAGTACACACACAGAGACACACTGTCACCATTATCTAATTGTTACGATATATCAAATCTTTATCTATTATCTCTGCATCTGTATTTTTGCTTGCTGAATAATTATTTTTCTATTTCTGAACTGTAACTTTTCTTTTTTTCAGGGAACAAGAATACAGGAATAATATTTGGAGCCATTTTAGGGGGAATTCTGGGTGCTTCCTTGTTTAGTCTTGTTGGCTATTTATTGTGTGGACAACGGAAAACCGATTCATTTTCCCATCGGCGACTTTATGATGACAGAAATGAACCAGGTAAAAACTATTTTCAGACCATCACTCGTGCAAAGTGGTTTTAGTTACGTGACAATGCACTACCTATGAAGAAGTCAGGGAGTTGTATGACAGAGACAAACAAGGTTCATTTGGAACCATCTCCTTCACCAAAATCCCAATAATTAGTAATAATAAACATAATAATAATTGTCATTATCTTTTTGTAACATTTAAAAAACACTTGGATTTTTTGCTCATTGTATCAAAACTGGTTTTAAATAGTGTTTCCAGAATCCAAACGTATTACTGAAGACTGTGATATGAAATTCTAAAAATTTGCATGTAAATGGAACTAGAAAAAAAAATCATCCCCAGTGAGGTATACTGAAAAACAATTATAAGTTCCTTGATCAACCATCATCAGAAAAGAATCCTCTTGCGGCATATGGGAATAAATAGAGACCCATAGGCAGACATTGTGCAGACAATGAGACATTTTGGAACACTCAGCCATAGTGGGATGTCTCTATCAAACCCTTCCCCTCAAGGCTAAGGGAGCCCCATGGAAGAAGTCATGGGAAGTAAGAGTCAGAGAGGATAGAGACCCCCAAACTATGCCCTCTATATCAACATGATCAGAACTCATATGAACTCACAGAGACTGGGGCAGCATGCATGGGGTCTGCATGTGTCTGCACTAGGCCCTGTGTACATTTTATGGCTTCCAGTTTAGTGTTTTTATGAGATTCCTGAGTGTGAGAATGAGTAGGTCTCTTGTTATTATGCCTTATCTTGGGCTCTTTTCTTTCTGTTTGTTTTGTCTAATAACAACATGTTAGTCTTTATTTTATCTTATTATATTATATTTTATTATTATCACTTAATAAGTTCTGCTCTCAAATAATAATAATAATAATAATTAATAGAAAAAGCAGAAAAGAGAAATGTGTCTCTGAAACACAGTATATGAAAGATTAATATGTACAGAAATAAAGACATTGTATGTTAATTAAGAGCTTTCCCACCCTTGTAATGTTTTTTAAAGCCAACCAGGCTCTATATATAATTTGATGGTTGAAATATTTGCTGCCTAAGCATAACAACCAGAGTTCAGATCTTTAGAACCCATGGAAACTTTTGATAAGTGAGCCTGCAGTTTCAGCACTTATAAGGTAGAGATAGGATTTCCTTAACAAGGTGACTAATGAGCCTAGTCTTACTGAGAAGATCTGCATTCAGCTGAGAGACCATGTCTCCATGTATGAGGTGCAGATCCTTTGAGGAAATTCCTGACATCTGCTTCCAGTCTCAACATGCATACATGTACACATGTGAACATGAATAAGCACAACACACACACACACACACACACACACACACACACACACACACACACACACACACACGCATGAACACATGTACACGAGATTTAAAGGCAGCAATAATATCTGTAATTAATATAAAGAGATATACTAAATAAAACAGAGTGTTTGATATATATTATTTAAACAAAAGATAAATGAAATCACTACAGACCTTTGACTCTCATGCTTTAAGAGAAGGTCTGTTTTCTTGTATATACAAGGATTTCTGCCCCTATTGCAAATAGTTACCTGACTTTAAAATGAGTCCACTGGTGAAGTCTCCTTGAATTCTCCTGAGTTCAGTTCATCATTGATATATTACAGACATTAAAAATCAAATCCATTAACTGAAAATTGAGGAGAATTCTGTTTGTGGGTTTCTACTAATCCATATAAGAAAGTGACATGTTTCAAAGTTCAGGAGAGGACTTTTAAGTTTCAAACTACATGTGTTTTTTAATAGGAATCCTGTCTTGTGTACATAATATAAAATTTTTATTCTGTCAGGTTTTACATTCTAAGTAGTTGTGACTGATGCCTAGAGGAGCAGCAAGTCAACCAAGAGACCTGTTTTTTGATCTTCTCCATACAGTTTAGGAGTTCCCAGGAGGCTAGTTTGTAAGCAGATGGCTTAATGAATAGTCAGGCAACATAATACTTATAGGAATAATTAGATCATTAATCTAATTAGTAATTAGTCCCTGCTTGTAGCACTTGAAGATGCCCAGTACGTAACATGTTTTCTCTGGAAAGTGTACTCAAGCTCATTAAGAAGATATTTCACTTTGCTATAAATGAAACAAAAATTTCCTGATTCATCTATCAGAGTGTCTTGAGTGATACTTGGATCTATCAGATCAGAAGGAAGCATACTTTCATAAATTTCTTTCTCCCTTTCACAGGGTTGACTATCAAGGTATTATGATAATCAGCAAATAATGATGTTTTATTAAACGTCCTTACTTAAAAATCATTTTTGTACCATAGATTGAAACCACAAAATTAAAGTCATTTAGGTATATTTATATTTTCATGTATAAGGTATTGGTGTGCTTTGTTGATATGCCTTTCTTATTTTCTTAATTTTGTGTCCAATTTTGAATTTTAGAAATGCCACTGTTCTCTTATTCAAAGAAATTAATGTGGCATGCAAAAGTAATGACTGAGAAGTCCACATAGAAGATGTATCTGTTCATCACCTAGAACACTTCCTACAGTCTGATAATGTAATCAGGTGGCTGAGCACTCATCATTGAGACTATCGACATAAAGTATTCTGTTGATTTTGCTATTTTTTTTCAGTTCTGCGATTAGACAATGCACCAGAACCTTATGATGTCAATTTTGGAAATTCTAGTTATTACAACTCAGCTGTGAGTGATTCATCCATGCCAGAAGGTGGAGAAAGTGTGCATGATGGCATTCCCATGGATGATATACCTCCACTTCGAACCTCAATATAAAACTAGGAGAAAAATGGCTGCAGAAGGCAAGAGTTCATCCCCATCTTGACCTTTTAGTAAATTTACCTTTCAAGAGGTTCTTGGAGATCATTGCTATGCCACCTGCACAGGGAGAGCTGAAAAAGCAAGAGCTGTCTGTGCAGCAGAAACAGAGCAGATCCATCACCTAAAAGCTCTCTTTCCTTACAGTCTTCAGCTGGCTGAAGTGTGCATTATATAATCATACTTTGTGTTTTGGTTTGTTTCTCTGGGAAGCCTTTGTGGAATAAGGCAAAATTAATACACATCACCATGGTAGCACTGACTGATAACTTAATAATAACCATTCTTCACACAAAATCTGGGGACCAAAACTATATTTTCTTTCAATATTTTCTGTTTAAACAAGAAACTGGAGTTAACTCTTCACTACTCTTGTCTGTAATCCAGGATCACAAAACAAGCATTTTCTTGGGGAATAATTTGGATGGTAATTTTTTGTTTGTTTATTTCAAAGCCAGCAATATGATATGGTAGAGTTTTGATCCTGAGAAATTAAGACAATAATAATGAAAACCTTGTCACATTGTAATACATTTCAGTTTTCTACAAGAGCGCGCACACACAGTTGACAATGAGTGCATTCATCAGGGCCAGCAAGAAAACTGACTCTAGCAAGGAAAATGATACTCTCCCTAAAAGTTCTCAAAGTCCTTACAGCAATTCCAACTTGCACATCAGGTAAACATCAGGTTTCAGTTTAATTAGACGCCTTAGAATTTCAACAAGAAACATGAAGAAAAGGCTAAAGAATATACTTATACATAATTAGTATGATTTTTACTTGATGGCTGGAAACAGAATTTGCATCACATTACATTTATGTTCCATCATATATGAATCAGTCCATCCCTCTAAAGGTATGAAGCACAGGGTAAAACAAGTAAACTGGACAGGGGTGGTACAAGTCTTTAATCCCAGAATTTGGGAGACAGGCAGGTGGATTTCTGTGAGTTCAAGGCCAGCCTGGTCTATAAAGCTACACAGAGAAACCCTGTCTGGAAAAACGAAGAAACGAAAAACAAAACAAAAAACCAAGTAAAATCATCAAGCAAACTCATTGCCCTTGCTTGTACCAGTAATAATACAAGAGACTTAATTTTGGTTTTAGTTTGTTTTTGATCAATACCCATGTTTGATACTCTAACTCTCAGAGATTAAAGGATTAAATAAGAGTTAAACCCCAATGAGGAAATGTATGAAGAGGGAAAACAAACAGGTACCATCTTAGAGATGTCATTGTTGAATCAATACATGGTGTGAGTGGCACTTCCATGTGGTGTGTGTGTGTGTGTGTGTGTGTGTGTGTGTGTGTGTGTGTGTGTGTGTGTGCGCACACATGCATGCTTAAGTGTACACATGTGTATATAGTACAGAAATATAGTTAGAAAGTCAGAGTTGAAAAATGAGTAATAGAAGGAAATACTTACCCCATATTGCCATAAAAATAGCAAAGAAGACTGTTCCTCCATTATCAAACAAATATGTTACCTTAATAGAAAAAATAGAAACATTAATAATACTAATTAATGATTATACTAAACTAGAAGATATTGTTTGCATTAGGTAGCGTAATTTCTCCCCAGATTCTATCACAGCATTGTATAGTCTATTAATCTTTTGACCTGGGATCTTCATTTGTCCTCCAATAGTTTATGTAATTTCTTCATGAGAAGAGATGAGAAAACAACAGATTTTTCTTCTCTCTTCCCCCTGATTCCTTTGTACCCCAACTTCATTCTAGCTTTTACATGTTTCTAGATCCCCAAGAATGCCATTTTACACCATAGACAAACAATTAATACTGTGAAATGCAAAATGTTAGGGTGTAAGTTAAAGAATTATAAGTTTTGCTTTCTGTCAACAAAAGTTTCCAGAATGGGGAAGTTATAAAACAAAGAAAAGAGATAGTGACCAAACTTCTTCAATTAAATGCTGTCATGGTACTGCTCCTTTCATGTCTTCCAAAATGTGCCATGGGTCCAGTAGTGAATTACTTCATGTAAAGATTTTCATCTTATGTTGTTTTAAGAAGTTTTTTTTCATAAACATCAAGCACATTTTTAATTAGCTATTACCTGATATAAAACTTGATAAAGGATGTAAAGTTATTCAATGTTATAGAATATAATTTTCAGAATTTCAAGGACTGATTGATTTGAATAAAATTCAGATGTAATGAAATACAATTTGCTGGTGTTTATTTTAATTTGCATAACACATTTCCCAAAATTAGTGAAGTTAAACATTTTACATGTAAATAAATACCACAGAATAACAGCAGTCCTCTGAATATCTATGCGGGATGCGTTGCAGAATACTTCAGAACTTCAGATTGTGCTAAACCCTGTTTGATAAAATTTCATAAATAAGTCTGTCACAATAAGAGATTAACAATAGTAGCCAAAGATAGGATGGAGCAAATATTACAATATACAGTAAATCAGTTGTGAATGTGGACTTCTTCACATGTACAAAAGTCTTAATAATACTGTCCTCACTCTTCTTGTAGGATTGATGTGAGATGGTTTCTACATGTTCAAATGAAGGGAGGCGAGTGAAGGAGGCATTGTGAGGTTGCACAAGTCGACCTTGCAAGAGTTACTTGACCACAGACACTCTGATAGTAAAAACATAGCTCTTTTACCCAAGGGCTTCTGTATAGCTAGCAGATGGGTAGTGTATACTACAAGATATGCAAAGAGATGATTCATGTGCCAGGTAGAATAGAATGGGATGGAGTCCAAAACCTATGAATAATTTAATACTGGATTTTTATTTCATATTTTCAAAGTTCAGTTTCCAGGGGTAAAGAAAATCACAGAAAATGAAACTGCCAATAAGGAAAGCCATTGTATAGAGGGAAATGACAGAATTATCTCCCAAAGAAGATAAAGCAAATTATGGATTAAATGACAGTCTTATAAGAGAAGTTGGGATAGAATGGTAATCCCCTTGTTTAGTCTGTAGTCAAGAGGGTTCCTAATGAGGACATTACAATAATACTGATGTATATTTCAATTGTAGCCTTTCAAAAACATTATGAATGATGCTTAGCTTGGTGACATAAGGCTTGTCTAGAATACACAGGAAAGGGTCTTATCCTGAAGCACAGCACAGAAAAGAAACACCAAAGAGAAGCCTTGGGGACTGGGTATAAGTACAAAACATTCTTTGTGGTTCTAAAATTTTATTTTAGTTAAGGCTGGAGATTTCTAAAAATATTATGTGTTGCTTTCCAGAATAATCATTATGGATAGCAGAGACAAGTATCATAGAAAAATTCCCCCACAGAGCTCATAAAATTACATACAGTGGGGGAAAGCTAGCCTCTTTGTTTCCAGGGGCACCCAGCAGAGAGACCTGAGCTGAATAGCTGTCAGATTCCCTCTTTAAACAAACAGTACAGGAACAGCCTCTCAGAGTGCCACAGAGACTTTACATATGAGGATTAAAGGTCATCAAGAAATAAGGGTTCCTCCTGCTTCAGAAACAGTCATGCTTTTATAAAACTGGAAGTAAAAGGCCATAGTTAACAACAACAACAACAAAAAACCCACATGCTTCGTGGATACGATTGCTTATAGTTTATGCAGTGTTCATTTTTAAAGTGGTTTCCATTATCTCTTTAAAAATTCACTAATAAACTTTTAGGCATGTTTGAGCTCAAACTTGGTAATTATCAATTTAGAAACATAATAGTCAATTAATGTGGGTGCAGGTACTTTTTTATAATGTATATTTTAAGTGTTGATTATATACATGTAACAGGAACTAAAACTAAAATGAGAACCAAGGAAGACTTCAAAATGTGCAAGAGTGTAATGATGTCAAAATAATTTTGTTAGATTTACAACTTGTTTACACATTAAAGGTACCATGATATTGGAGATCACAGAGATGAGCAATTAGCTTATGTCTATAATCCAGTTACTAATTACTTTATGATGCTGACAGAAAACCTATTGAGTTAAAATGGGGAATACAGAGAGAGGGAAACTGAACACACTGTGGTTAGTTCAAGATTATATCTGAGGTAATTGGAAGAAAAAATATGGGCTTTGACCTTTCTAACAGGAAAGAACATTTACTACTTCAAAGAAAATATCCATTAATCCCAGCACTTGGGAGGCAGAGGTAGAGGCAGGCGGATCTCTGTGAGTTCGAGGCCAGCCTGGTCTCCAGAGCGAGTGCCAGGATAGGCTCCAAAGCTACACAGAGAAAACCTGTCTCGAAAAACCAAAAGAAAAAGAAGAAAGAAAGAAAGAAAATATTGAATGAAATTTTCAAAAAATACTTCAGACTTTTCTAAAAACAATGGATGTTTGCTCTTCCTAAGAATACACATTTTCAATGACTTGTTTTATTAAAAAAAATAGCTTGCTTTGGTGACTAAACAGATGTATGAACAACCATTTAATTTTTAAATCGTTGGTGAACAGAGGGTAATGTGAGGGGGCGTTGTACTGGCCTAACCATACAAATTCTCCATGGTGGTTGATGTCTGATTTCACCTTGAAAGCTGAGCATGGTTAGCAATTGATGAATCCTAATATTGTTTAAGGACATCTCACAATGGATGTCCATTACACAATGTAGTACTACTCATCAGGTAAAACAAAACAAAACAACAACAAAAGAAAACTCCAATGGAATCTTGAAATTTGCAGGCAAATGGATGGAACTAGAAGAAACCATTCTGAGCAATGTAAATCAGTCCCAAAAGGCAAACATGGTATGCATTCACTCATAAATGGATTTTACACATAGAGAAAAGGATTACCAGCCTATAATCCATACCACCAGAGAAGCTAGGCAACAAGGATGACTCTAAAAGAGACATACATGGTCCCCAGGAGAAAGGGAAAGGGACAGGATCTCCTGAGCAAATTGGAAGCATGGGGGGAGAGGGAACTAGGAAAATGAGAAGGGGAGAAGAGGAGGAGTGAGGAGGACATAAG